AAACAGAAGCCAATAGCAGAGTCTTAATCACAACTTTCAGTTATAAGGATTTAACCTTCCAACTCTCTAATATCTATGCACCTCCCAGTCAAAGTGAAAGATCTATTTTCTTTAACAACTGGTCTCCTCAAGTTAAAGAAAATGCTATTAATATTATAGCAGGAGATTTTAACACTAATCTTTATCCTAAAAATGATAGAATTAGTGAATCTCCATTACAGCACGATCCAACTAGAATTCAGCTTAAAGATCTGACAAAAAACTTTATTGACTCCTCAGAACTTGTGACTAACAAACCATTCTATACCTTTTTTCAAAAAACGAGAGGAAATAGAACAATGGCAACTCATCTAGACTACATCTTTATAGATAAGAATTATGCATACTCAATCCAAGAAACTAATACAAGATGTGGCAATTCAGACTATCTCTTAGTAGAATGCCTATTAAAATTTAACCTGAAAACAAGCAAGTCACCATTATGGAAATTCGACAAAAATTGTTTCCTAAATGAGAGACTAAAAAAAGAGATATTAGAGGAAATACAAGAAAATGAAAAGACAAATAATTAGGACTTATGCAAAATATATATTCAATCAATTATAAAAGCTTTCAAAAAGCCAAAAGCACCAGAAAGCAAAATTTCATCACTCAACAAACAAATTACTCGAATAAACAAAAAGCTGGCAAAAAACTCAATGAATACATACCTTCCTACTCAAGTAGACAATCTTAACTCCCAACTACAAGAAGAACTTACTCTTCTTGCAGAGAAATAGCAACTACATTCAAAAACAAAATAGATAGAACAAGGAGAAAAATCGACAAAATATTTTTTCTCTAAATATAAGTCGAGAAAATCTCATTCAGCTCTTAAAGAAGTTAAAGATCCTTCAAATACAGCTCAGAAAGAAAATAACACCTTATCATATATCAGAGAAGAATATATAAAAATCTACAAACATGAAGCGATAAACTTAGAAGCAGCTAAAGAAATCGTTAAAGAAGCTCCACAAGTTTCAGAAGTACAAAACTCTTCACTCATACAAGAAATTTCTTTGGAGGAAATAAGGAATACAATCAGAAGCCTTCCAAACAATAAGTCACCTGGCTCAGATGGCCTTACCTACGAGTTCTATAAACTCACGGAAGAAGTGATCACTTCTCTTTTATACCACCTTTTCAACCAAGTATTGCATTCAGATATATTACCTAAATCTTAGTGTAAAAATCTAATAATACTTATTCCGAAGAAATCTACAGATCTAGAGAATCTAAACAATTGGAGGCCAATCTCACTAGTAAATAGTGATACTAAAATTTTTATGAAAATTTTAGCGAGCAGGCTAAATATAATATGCCAAGAGGTAATATCTTCACATCAACAGGGTTTTGTTAAAAACAGATCAATTTCAGATGCAGCAATGGATATCATCACAACTCTAAGAAACCAACAAGATAATTCCTATTGTTAGATCATCTGCATATGCTATGAGTTTGAAGAATTGGTGTCCTAGTTTGATGCCTTGCAGGTTATTTTTTAAGTTTAGTAGTAATGGTTCAAAATCAAATATGTACAAGAGAGGTGAGAGTGAATCTCCCTGTCTTACTCCTTTTTCTACTCTAAAAGCTTTTGAGAGTTCTCCTGCTTCGAGGATGTGTGCTTCTTGATTTGAAAATAGGTTTTTTACTAATATAATAAACCTGTTGTCAAAGTTCATTTTTCTTAAGACTAGTTCTAAAAACTCATAGCTTATATGATCAAATGCTTTCTGTTGATCCAAGAAGAGCATCCAATATTGTTTTGTATTATCTTGTTGGTTTCTTAGAGTTGTGATGATATCCATCGCTGCATCTGAAATTGATCTGTTTTTAACAAAACCCTGTTGATGTGGAGATATTACCTCTTGGCATATTATATTTAGCCTGCTCGCTAAAATTTTCATAAAAATTTTAGCATCACTATTTACTAGTGAGATTGGCCTCCAATTGTTTAGATTCTCTAGATCTGTAGATTTCTTCAGAATAAGTATTATTAGATTTTTACACCAAGATTTAGGTAATATACCTGAATGCAATACTTGGTTAAAAAGGTGGTATAAAAGAGGAGTGATCACTTCTTCCATGAGTTTATAGAACTTGTAGATAAGGCCATCTGAGCCAGGTGACTTATTGTTTGGAAGGCTCCTAATTGTATTCCTTATTTCTTCCAAGGAAATTTCTTGTATGAGTGAAGAGTTTTGTACTTCTGAAACTTGTGGAGCTTCTTTAACGATTTCTTTAGCTGCTTCTGAGTTTATCGCTTCATGTTTGTAGATTTTCATATATTCTTCTCTGATATATGATAAGGTGTTATTTTCATTCTGAGCTGTATTTGAAGGATCTTTAACTTCTTTAAGAGCTGAATAAGATTTTCTCAACTTATATTTAGAGAAAAAATATTTCGTCAATTTTTCTCCTTGTTCTATCCATTTTGTTTTTGAATGTAGTTGCCATTTCTCTGCAAGAAGAGTAAGTTCTTCTTGTAGTTGGGAGTTAAGATTGTTTACTTGAGTAGAGAGGTATGTATTCGTTGAGTTTTTTGCTAGCTTTTTGTTTATTCGAGTAATTTGTTTATTGAGTAATGAAATTTTGCTTTCTGGTGCTTTTGGCTTTTTGAAAGCTTTTATAATTGACTGAATATATATTTTGCATAAGTCCCAATTATTTGTCTTTTTATTTTCTTGTATTTCTTCTAATATCTCTTTTTTTAGTCTCTCATTTAGGAAACAATTTTTGTCAAATTTCCATAATAGTGACTTGCTTGTTTTTAGGTTAAATTTTAATAGGCATTCTACTAGGAGATGGTCTGAATTGCCATATCTTGTATTAGTTTCTTGGATCGAGTATGCATAATTCTCATCTATAAAGATGTAGTTTAGATGAGTTGCCATTGTTCTATTTCCTCTCATTTTTTGAAAAAAGGTATAGAATAGTTTGTTAGTCACAAGTTCTGAGGAGTCAATAAAGTTTTTTGTCAGATCTTTAAGCTGAATTCTAGTTGGATAGTGCTGTAATGGAGATTCACTAATTCTATCATTTTCAGGATAAAGATTAGTGTTAAAATCTCCTGTTATAATATTAATAGCATTTTCTTTAACTTGAGGAGACCAGTTGTTAAAGAAAATAGATCTTTCACTTTGACTGGGAGGTGTATAGATATTAGAGAGTTGGAAGGTTAAATCCTTATAACTGAAAGTTGTGATTAAGACTCTGCCATTGGCTTCTGTTTTAGAGTTTTGGAATGTTATATTTTTGTTGCCTGCTAGAATTGCTGTTTTGTTTGACCATATTGAGTCGAAGACCCATTGTTGTTGTAAGAAGATTTGTGTATCCTTGTTATTTAGATTTGTTTCTTGAAGCATAATCATATCTAAGTTATAAGATTTAATAAGAGTAAGTGTATTTCTTTGTTTCTGTTGATTGTTCAATCCCTTAACATTAAGGGTAGTAATTTTTAACTTTAAATTGTTAATCATAGAAATTAATATAAAGATAAAGTTTTTAGATCTGCATATTCTGGCTCTCATTACAAGTTTTTTTCTTGTAAGGAGCAGTTCGAGTTTCTTCTTGTTTTTGTGCAGATACTTTCTTTTTATCTTTTTTCCTTTTGTTTGTGGCTACTATGTATTCTCCTTCAGTGCGATCAAGTTCTTGAAGCTCATGATTATTGTTATCAATAATAATCATAGGTAAGGCTTTATCTTGTTGTAGTTCTTGATTATTATTTTCTGCAGAAGTTGCCTCTCGAGTTTCTAGAGTTTTTTCTACATTTGTATTCATAGAAGTTGAAGCTATAGGCTCTACTTCCTCTGTTTCAACAGTCACATTATCATTATTTCTACTAGCTGTCGGGGCTTCTTTTTGATCTTCTATAGTTTTATCTTTTGAAGTTCTATCTATACTCATCTTTTGCGAAGAGGAGGAGGCTGATGCTGATGTAGCATTTTCTTCTATAAAGTTTGAGGTGCGTTCTGGAGTTTTTTCTTTATTCTTATTATTCTGATACTCTTTAAATTGGTGTTTGAGAATCATTGCTTCTTTATATTGCTCACAGTCTCTTTTAACATGACCTTCTTTATCACAAAAGAAACAGACTTTAGGAGCTGATTTCTATTCTGAAGTAATTTTGTTTTCAAGCAGAATGTAGAAATAAGGGATTCTCTTTTCCAAATCTGGATCATTGGTGGTATCAAAGATAATGACCCACTGGTCAGTTAGGTAAGGAGTGCCTTTAATTAAGAGTGGTTTAATAGATACGATTTTTCCCACGTCCTCAAAGGCTTCTTTGATAGCTTCAGAGACTAGCTTCTTATCCAATAAAGGTACATTTCTGATTTTAACTAAAAGAAATAATCTTCTGTTATCTGTAGGAATAGAACCGAGGTATGTTTTGTTAAAGATTTCCACTCCTTTAACTGTATAATCTTGTAATTTTTCTTTGTTAGCAAAGATAATTTCTAGATGAGTACAGATTCCTCTATTTATATGAGGCTTAGCTGCGACTATATCATCTCCTACATTCTCATAGAGAGAGACCATGATATTATTCAAAGGGCAGTTTAAGCTGCTAATATCCAGAACTAAAGCATTATCATTCTTAGATCTAATGGTACTCCTAGGGGAGTATGAAGTAAAAGTGGATTGACCTCTTTTGCCCTTAGCGAATAGACTAGACCAAGATTTCTTTTGGTTCCTTTGAAAACTCGGAGCATTTGTAAGAGTTTCCATATGAGGTTCATTAGTTGACATGACACGTGTATTTGTTGTTTTGGTTACATCTAAATTATTATGCAAAGAATCACATATTTTTTCTTCAGTTGTTTTGTTTTTGTTGTCTCTGTTTTCTTTCGTTTCTTGAAGTAAGTTTGTTTTTTCTCTTTCAAGATCTTGAGTTACTTTCTCATCCCAAGT